CGAATTACTGTTGCTTTAACCTCACAGATTATTTAGCTCTGCTTGCGTTCACTAAGCTGATTTGTATATCTATGTCCACCTCCTGCTTGACTTCATTCGTTAATGCTACCTCCATATATATGCTTCTCTACCTATTCCAGCTGCACCACATCTTGCAGAGCTTAGGTACCTCTAAAAAACGCTTTGGTTGTTATCAGATTAACTTACTGTTACTTGTATATAAAAAATATAGAACAAAAGTTTTACCACTGAGATGCACTCATCGATAATCAATCGTTTCTTTGTAGAAACAGTTCAGCACTGACACTGTATAAAACACTTTAGTAGAGTAACGAAGGTCAGTTATTACAGCCCATCGTAGCAACAACCATGCCCAGCTGATCATATGCTTCTCCTCAACATGTATAAGTGATAATCGTCAGAGAACCTATAGCATTGCCCTCCTTTCTAGGATGTCCTTCAGTTCCACTTTTCTAAATTACACCAAAGGGAATGTAGGTATTGATTATGACCATTCGCTCATCATGTTCGTGAAGTGGTGTGGTTTCAAGATACCTTTACTTTGCGGAAGTACAACTCTAATACTTATCTGCTTTTTACAAGTACTAAATTACATAAGTGAAGTGTCGTCATGGGGCCGAATTCTTTGTAGAGGCTTCTAGGTCATTTTTCTGCTCATACATTAAAACGTTAAGAAAGAGATGCTTCCCGCCCCTGTTTGAATCTTTGATCAAGTTGCTTTCGAAATTGCTGATTATAAGCATTTCGTGTATATCAGGTCTGGTCTGTGTTAACTCAGTATGAACGAAAACCGGCCTATGAAAATCGATGTTTGTAAAGCGTCCGATGCAAGTTGTTTAATTTACAAATCCAGACGGAAAGCCCGCAGACCACAGTCGATATAAACTCAAATAGATACCTTCATCGTTTCACCAAGACATCTGCGTCTGGAAGAACGTCGATTGCTGATCAAAATTACAAGAGAAAATCGAACAAAACGTTTTTTTATTTCAGCGGGTAGACAAGACAGGAAATTCAGCGTAAAAATGTCGCAACTTTTATATTCATGCTGTCAGTCTTCATAAAAGAATGACATCTTTTGTTGCCATGGTCATGTCAATCAAATTAAAGAGGATAAAATATCTCTTATTGCACCTGTCCACGTTATGAGGGCATCATGAACGCAAGTCGGCGCTCCTCCAACATTCTCCACTTTTTGCTTTCTGCGTCCACTGCTGACCAAGTCATTTGATCATCGGATAAGCCCAGTGTTCTTTGACAACCGACTCGACGTTGGTGGTCCAACTTTACCCAGTCTGTAATTCTTGACGTCCACTGATTGCCTCTCTTGCGAGCCACATGGCTTGTCCGTCTTCACTCTGCATCATCAATATAGAAACCACGTCCATTAATCCAGACTATTGCCAAATTTGTGCGCTCTGAAGGTGATCCCGAGAGGACACCTTGCACATTCCTCATTGCGTGACTATCAGTTTGTACTGTTCTACTTTATTAGCGGACCAACATTCAGTCAATCTCGAATCAGTCACAAGTCAGGGACTAGCCTTTTTTCGTACAGGGTTTTCTACTATTGACCAAGCGCATATGGTCCAGCAGCTGACGTAAACAGGATTTATACCATGCGGATGCAAAGCGCCTAACCTCACTCCTCAATTTAATCCCACTGTGAACGCCTTTTAGTCGACGAAAGCAAAACAGTGGCACTTGATATTCGTTGCACTTTTCCGCCAATAGATGACATGGTAAATGGTAGACCGTCCAGTATGAAAAACGTCCTACTCCTGACTTGTGACTAATTCGAAATCCTTCCGCAGGTGGCTGAGAATGATGCGGTCGAAAATACATTTCTGCGACAGGAATGTTATTTGTCGATAGTCCTTGAAGTTTTCTGATATGCTTTCTATCATAAGAATCGTTCATAGTCTTCCACGCTGATGTATTCCGTAAAAAGATTTGGCACGTGCCTTAAATAGGATTGCACCTCCTGCCTTACGGCGTTCTGGTCTAATATCGTTTCTGCCTAGACATCTGCTATTTTTAATGTTGCTGTTCACCCACTCAACCTTGAAGCAGGTGGCTTCGGGAACGACTTCTGGAGCGTGTGGCTATTTCCTATTCACTCCTATTTTGTGCACATCGCATTGATCGCTGCGATTTCAAACTGCTGCTTCTCCTTCATCTTTCAGCGCACTCGGAAACTGATGCTTCAGGTAAATATGCTGTTTCACAACTTTCAGACTCTTCTTCCTCTCCTTGGTCTCTGTTAGTCCAATTCTTTTGCAACCACCTTGGTCTTCACTTAACTTCTGCAGTACCTTTTTGCATAATGCAGTGCACACGCTGTCCGTTTTGCCTTCGGCCTTCAGTTTGGCTCTTCTAGCTGTCAGCTGTCTTGCTGACAATGTGATAGATAATTTCTCGCGGACTTTGTTTTTCAGACTGATGTTCTAACAGCAATCTCTTAATGGCATTTACAACAAGTCATATTCCGCGTTTATGCCCTCACTGATCTTTATTTCGAGGTTCATTAATGACAGCCTCTTGGCGAAGGCTCTGAATCAAATCGTAGTTCCTCAAAGCGGTGGTCTTTAGGCTCTTTTGATCTGATCCTTTTGCAACATCAGTTGTAACTTGAAACATAAAAGCCCGCGGTCTGACCCTATACAGATGTTCTCGACTATGACCAAAACAACCTATGCTAGTTTTTTGTGTCTGTACATAGGCGATTTGGTTCAACGACTTTGTCCATTATCGCTTCTCAGAAAACGATGTTCCTGACATGCAGGTGCTTACTTTCACCGATACTTACGATGCGACGTACACGTTTATTTCTTTCACCGTGTTTGACGGGAGGCACCTGTGTCGTTCATTCCTACCCCACGACTGTGTTTAAGTCTCATTGGGCACTCCTGCATAATCTTCTCCATTGCGCCTTTCAATTTCATCTTCAGCTTGTTGGGTTAAGCTGTAAGCTAGAATTATTATTGTTGTTCTTGTATGTATCGTTATAACTGCTATATGAGTGATATATCACAGCTCATACAAATGGAACAGCTTTCCTTTTTATTATGAGTCCAACGCTGCCTTTCCGAGTCTTCGCTGTATTACTGCCTAACAAGTTCGGTAAGTTTTACGGTCTGCTGCATTACGCTCTCCTTGATCTTCTCCGTTTCCGTGATATAGAGGCCTGTAAATGCGCCTGCCGATAGCATTACTGCATTAGGCCGCCCACAAAGATCTTACGTTTACCAATAACGTCCTGTGTATGTTTGAAGAATATCTATTAGTAAATGCTAGGTCGACACGGTAACCTGCACCAATTTTCCCCGTTTACGTTTAAGACAAAGCACTCTCTGGCGAGCGTACTTGCGGCAGTTCATTGTGAGTGCCAAACTTCGTGAACTATTGCCAATGTCTCATCAACCTTCACCTGTCTAAACGGATCCAGAGAAGTGGAGCATTTGTCAGGTTTCGGTCACCTAAAGATATCGCTGGGTGAGTAGTGTGCAGTGCAACGCTTCAACTTACCTGTACGGGTTCTTGCATC